TTGAAAAATGCCTTTGTTTACTCGGAGTATTGCCGACGTAACATTGTGATTTGCGCGCAACTCGTTGTTATCGGGAGGCGCGCGACTTCCGAGAATCAGCACCGCCACCTGCCAAACGGCCGCGACTGATCGCGCGAGAGTAAAAAGGGCCATGGTGGTGGTGTGCACATCAACGTGCTTACGCATTACGACCGATCAACAGGTCCTCTAAAACCAGCCACATAGAGCGAGCACGAAAGCGCGGGGGGGGGGGGCAAGGAAGAGGAGATACATAGATAGATAGTTAGAGAGAGAGAGAGAGAGAGAAAGAGAGAGAGAGAAACGCGGTTGCGAGATAAGCTTGAAGAGAGAAGCTGCGAGTAGCGCAGAACAAACTCACTTGGATGCACAAACGCACAAACACGCGAAAAAGCGCGCGCGCGTACACACACATGCACACGCAATACACGCGTACACAGAGGTAGAGAGTGAGAGAGAGAGAGAGAGAGAGAGAGAGAGAGACAACAGAGAGGCATAGAGAGCGGCACGGACTTCACCGACGCCAAAGCCACACGTACGTACCTCGCTGGCGGTGGGCCTCCTCTCACTCGGGCTTATCTTCGGTCGTTCCTCTCCTCCGCCTCCACCGCCGCCGCCACTACCACCGCCACCGCCACCACCACCTCTTCCTCCTCCTCCTTCACGGGAACCTCACCGGCGCGCTTCCTTCGCTGGCCTCGCACTCGTACCCCGCCCCCCGCGCGCTCCTTGATCGCCACCGGGGCAGGACGAGATTATTCTTCTACTCGCGGTCCCACGACTCCGAGTAAGCACAAACACACGCGTGACGACGAGGACGACGACGAGGACGACGACGAGGACGACGACGAGGACGACGACGAGGACTAGGACGAAGACAACAACGAAGACGACAACGGCAACGACGTCCAGGTAGACTGGAAGCGCACCGACGGCGGGCAGCTCGCTCTATCAGTGCCGTTCCATGGCGCGTTTAAAGGCCGGCGGCGCTCCTCTGGCAGCCGCGTAGCCGCACTTGTCCGCGGGCTCTCGGCCGGGGCCCTCGCATATTTCGCCCCCCGGCGCCGTTTTGCCCGGGGTATACGCACGCTCGCCCGGGCCTCCCGCGGCCGTGATGAGGGCAGGTGGGAGGAGCGGGCGCCCGGGGTCCTGCGCCAGCCGTCGATGAGGATGCTATGCACGCGCGCCGCTCACGGGTTCAAAGACTTGCGGGCCCGGTCAAGGCTCGCGCCCGGTTAGAGATGCGACGTGCGACTGCTGTTCGCGACCGAGGTAACGCACGCCGAGGCTGCCGAGCGCCGATGATGGCGCCCTCGACGGGGCGGCCGCGCGGCTGCGCAGACGCGCCGATTCTAGCGCGGATCGGCCGCGCGAGCCGCGACTCCTCGTGCTATCCCCTGAGGACGAGGGGCTACGATGAAGCGGGGCCGGCGAGACAGCAGGGACACTACAGTCCCTCGGTGATTATCGAGAGCCTCTGTTACGAAGAGTCGGGGACCTTGGCGCGAGTCCGCTTTGTCCCACTTATCGATCACTTTCCATTTTACGCTGCCGACTGCCGCGAAGTCTCCTCGCCTGCTCGCACCAACCTGCCCCATCAGCCGCCGCTGCCTTCCCCCTCCCCCCCTCCCGCTGCCAATGCAACTCGTTGCACTACATTGCCGTGGTGATGGCGGTGGTAGTGGTGGTTTGTGACGGTGATGCTGCTATGCTTGCTACTACTATTCTACTACCGTTGCTGCTCGTAACGATAATCCTGTTGACGATGATGACAATGGTGCTGGTGGTGGTGATACCACCACCTCCGCGGCCACTGCTGCTTCTACTAATGTTACGAAGAGCTGCTCCAGTGGCATTCTTCCCACATTCCAAATTGCCAGTGTGCGTAGGCGATCGTTTAGGCAGAGTGGACTTTGCAATGGCAATTACACATGGGACTGCAATCGGCGGTCAGCGACACTGATGCTGCTACTACTGCGGCTTTAGCGAATCCAATCTCAACGAATATTACGGCCGATAATCAATTTGTGGACCAAAGTCCTTTACCACTGCCTAGGTTAATGGAGTAATTTGCGGTAGTGTAGCTCACTACTTTTGCGTAAAGTTTTTTGCAACGTTATTGCGAAAAAATAATAATAATCATTTTATTGACAAAACAATCGTAATTTTATTTGCAAAAGCGTTGGATCCGTATTATTATTGTTGTCGTCGTCGTCGTCGTCGTCGTCGTCGTCGTCGTCGTCATCATCCTTGTCGTCGTTGTTGTTGTTGTTGTTGTTGTTGTTTATATTATCATCGTCAGCGAATGCATTGTTGTTATAATTGCCATCGTCGTCGTCGTGTAATATGATGAATTTGTACTTTTAATAGTTGGAAGATATAGTCCGCAGATTTAACTAAAGTATTTCAACTTTTCAATGGTTTTACAATTTTTCAAAAAATTGCAAAAAATTAAGCTAAATGTCAATTATAATAAGACAAATATTTTTTTCCTTGGATTTATTAAAATAAATTTTATAACGCTAAATTTTTTTCAAACTTTTATTATTTTGTCTGTTTTCTTTTTAATTTTAATTTAAATTTAAAACTTTTGTCCTCCTTAAATTCCTATTAGACCTGATAATTCTGATAAATCTATCCGAAATAAAATAACGAATGCTTTAATACGATTTAGAAAATGTACTGTAATGTTTATTAAAAGTTAAAATTCTCAAGTTTTATTATATTTTCGAATGACTAACTAAAAGAGTAGTAAATTTTTTATTTAAATTTGAATTAGACGTTTTTGACCAAATAATTATACTACATTTGCTTAAACGATAAATGCTATTTGTTTATACGTGTTCAACCATATTACATAATTATTCGAATAGAATTAGCAAAATAACGTGTGCGTTATTATTAAAAGTATGCATTATTTACTTAAATAATTTTTATATAAAGTGAATTAAATTTTGCTTAATATTAAATATTTAATCTTCTTTTTTTTTCTTTTTTTCTTTTGACATGAATGAAAATTATATTTAGTAAAAATGCACGTATTAAATGAAATTGCTTCTAATTGACAGAAATCTTTAAATTACATGTAAATTAAAACTCCACATGAGTGTCATACATGCTGTACAAGTGTACAATATTAAGAATATTTTATAATTCAAACATAATGTAGAAATATTCGAAACAAGAAAAATTCGACAAACTACAGATATTTCGACAAAATGGAATGTTTCCTTTTTAAAGAGTACAATATTTTTTATTTGCTTCACTTAAATTTGCACTAGTTACATTATCTTATTACTTGATAATAAGTTACATTTAATCAACAATTCGTGTATGTGTTGTATAATATATATTTTGTTATATATATATATATATATATATATATATATATATATATATATGTTGTAGTCGATAGAAAGTCAGTTTTAATAAATATTTTCATAATGCAATCCTTCTAAAATTTCCATTTTATATTAATTGTTCAATCACTTATAGCATTTAAGTTTTTTTCCTTACCAAACTACGAAAAGTAAACAAAACTGATCAATTATTTAACAATCCTATACTACAATGAAAAATTAATAATAAATAAACAATCGTTTCATTGTTAAATGGTATTAATTAGTATTCGTATGTAGAAATGAGCTAATAAGTATTATTATTAAAGTTTAATGTAGAATAAAAATTCTATTAAATTCCATCTCTTCATCGATATTTCAAAACCACTTTATTTAAATAAGTAAATAATGAAATAGAGTGATTTATAATTTGGCCTTAATATTCAATTCATATGCATAAATTCTATTTTAATTTACATAATTATTCTTTTAAAAATAATCTAATTTATAAAATATAGTATTTATTATCTACATAATACGAAACATTCTAAGTAATATAAGTTAAAAGTATAATACTATTAATGTTTTTATTTTATTTTTCATATTTACGATTTTTTGTGGTAATTACAAAGACATTAAATGTATGATTATTTTGTTAGAAACTTTAATTAAATTTGACAAAAGCTTGATAGAATATCTTAATAAATATTTAAAACATATATAATAAATCTAATTGAGAGTATAAAAAATTAATACCATATATTTCAATAATTATACATGTTATATATATATATATATATATATATATATTTTTTTTTTTGTACATAAATACATAATTGTAATTGGAATATATATTTAATTATATAATTTTATTTACAATATTTTGAAAACGCACACTTATACGAAAGTAAATGTCGGCATTATAATTGACTTAGCATGCAATTTATAAAAATATTTCAATAAAGAAGGCCTACAAAGGATATAACTATAAACAATAATAACAGCATCTTGAAATAGAGATAAAACAATTAAATAAATTTCTGTTCATAATTATTTTCTTAAAACGGGTTTTAATGGCTTCCATCAATTTCATATCATTATTTATTAATAAAATAATCTTATAAAATAGATTTCGGGCTCAATTGCTTTGTGTAACATAGTTAACTAAAAGAATGGCAATTAAAAAATAATATTATATTACTATTAATACGTATTATCAATACATCGTAAATTAATGTAAAAAAAACTCTTTTTAATGATATTGTTTAACAATGTAATTGACAATAGCTAATATTATGATATATTAATATGCTATTAAATACTCATTGATATAAGCATGAGCTAGCATATATTTATGTAAATATAATTTTTAATAATTATTTTCGTTTATCAAAGTTTATTAAATAATTGATTTAAATGTTTTCAATTTGTTGTCATTACCAGGTAGGAAAGTTTGAATTTTCATGAAAACCCCTTTTGCGATCCAAGTTTCCTATCTATGTGATTTATAAGTTTTCAACTTATCTAGAATTACAGTCTGGCGCGAAATAGTGACAAAGTGGATAAAATGTTATAGATTAATCTCTGGTAAAAAAAAGTTCTCGATAAGATTTTGTTTATATTTTATTAATTCTAGACCTTTGCTTAACACGAAATTATGTACGATATATTTTTTGATATAGTCAAATGATGGAAGATTTTGATATTTATGCGGATCTGCCAAGTTTCCATGCAGACGAATGTGAAAATGATAATAAGGAAAATACTGTAAGTGGCGTTGTAGGTTATAAATGGGACTATATATGAGCATCTAATAATTATTTCAATAATTTAAAAATACAGAGTAAAAAATTTGAGGAAAAAAATCAGATCTTGGAAAAGGAAGTAAGCCTTTTAAAAATAAAATTACAGGAGCTCGAAGGTATCAATGATAAATTGAAGAAGAACTTTTCCTCCCTAATAAAAACAGCGAAGGCTGAAATTTCTAGGAAAGATCGTACCATATCTGATTTAAGGGCTCAGTAAGTATTTTAATCGACGCTACGTTTACTGATACTTATAATAAATAATAAATATTTTAGGCTGGAAAACTTCACTTTTCGAAGGAATCCATATCATCGAAATAGTATGCACCATGTACAAAGTAATCATTACTTACATAATCCGCCTCCTCCTGTAAAGATTGAACCTAATAGTGAAATAAAGCTGAATCAAGGGGTTAATAAGCATACTTATCAAGCACAGTCCAGGATAAATGAGTTTGCTAAGGAAGAAAATAATGTTAATGAAAGAAGGAAAAATATTAGCATCAACGACAATGACGATGCAATAAATAATAATCCAGAGTATAGAAATACAATATATGGAGAAAGATTACGTAAGAAACTTCAAAAAGAGATGGAAAGCGAAAGGAGAAAGAAAGAAGAAGAATTGAAGATGAAAAATGAAGAGCAACGTAAGAAAGAAGAATTAATTAAAAGAAATGAAGAGTCTCGGAAGAAATTGGAAGATGAATCGAATAAAAACGTGGGGGATGAATCGCAAAAGTTACTAGAAGATGAGTCAACGATGAAAAAAGACGAAACCAAGAAGATAAACGAATGTTTTGATAAAGTAAACAATAAAGAAAATTTGGCCGTTGTTAATGAAGCGGCTGGAAAAGTTGATGCTAACATTAATTCTGATAAAACTTTAGATGCAGTAACTAATAATATAGATTTTGTTAAAAATGAAGTAATTCTAACGAAAAAAATTGACTATTCAGAATCCAAGGACGATCAATGTATAAATAGAAAGGGTGATATCCCAAAATTTAATAAGTACTTTGTCGCTAATGGTAATGTAACAGATACATTGAGTAAAAATCATTCAAACAATCATAGCAGCAAAAGGTATCATAATGATTCATCGGTGCAGAAAGATTATAGAAATCGAGACGACTATAATTATCACGATAGGCACAGGCACAATGATGTTTTGTATATAGATTCGAACAATCGACACAGTAGAAAGGATAAATATTATAATCAATTTGAAAAAAATGATCGGCATAGGAATTCACATCGGTATAAATCTCGCGATAGAGAAAGAAGTAGCAGTTCCAGTGCTAAAGACGAACTTCGTAAAAAGCATACTAAATCATTAGATGACAAACACGATCATACATCTAAAAAAATTAAGCTCGGTAAGAACGATAAAGACATCAAACATAATTTTATATCTAAGCAGGATAGAGTACATAAAAGAGATCAAGAAGAGCATTTGCAGAATCTGGAAATTAGTAAAAAACACAAAGACTATAGAGATAAAACTCCAAAACGCAAAAGACGAAGTGAATCTGAAGAAAAAGTATTACATATAAGTAAGCGGAATAGATTGAACGTTAAAGCTTGTAGTGCTGATAAGATTTCAACAGAAAAGGTGAAGAAGAATAGTTCAGAGACAAAAGATTCAAGTATTCAAGATGATGAAAGTAAAAAAATTAAGGGTGACAACGAATTGTCCAATAAGCACGTAGAACATATAAAAGAATGTGCTAAATTAAATAAAATTACAGAAGACAAGCGTGATAAAAAGCTTTCGATTAAAAAGTACGATGACAAAGTAGTCGATAATGTCGAATATATAAAAGAGAAGGTTCAATTGAATAGAAATATAGTAAGTGAAATAAAAATTGATAATTTGGAGCAGAAAGACAGTAGTACGGCGAAACAAGATGTTAGTCCAAATAACAAAAATGAAAAAGTAATGAGTGACAATGATTCACATATTATGGATGTAACGAATGTAAATATGAAGCCCGAAAGCCAGATGGAAGACTTATTAAACGAATTAGAAGAAGGTGAAATCGTAGATTCGGTTAATGATAAATCGCTCTATAAATGCGTGGGCAAACAAAGTGGAGCCACAAGCCAGATGGTAATTAATATAAAAACTACTTCAAAATTGATGAAAATACAAGAAAATGATCAAATTAAAGAAACATTAAATAGTTGTAGGATAGAAGCTAATGACTCGTCAGAAACTGTTAATGAGAATGGCAGGTCATTAGAGATAATGAGAAATACAGAAGTTCATTGTGCAAAGAGCATAGGTGAACCAAAAAAGGATGAAAATACAATTGGAGAGAATAGACAACTCCTAACTTTACTTACTCAAAATATTCAACCAGAAATAATAGGCAATTCTCAGCCTACTCGCAAAGAAAACAAAGACGTTGTAGAAAATACTATAGAAAAAGTGAAGCTGGACGATGGAATAAATACAAAATTAACGAAGGATGAAAATAACCTTGAAGAAAGTAATGTAACCTCTGCAAACGAAACAAAGCCAATCGACAATGAAAGCGATAAAACAAATTGCGATATACCTATGGTAAATAAAATAATGGCTAATTTAACAGACAATTGTACCGATGATGGCGAGGATTGTAAATTGCAAATAATAATTAACGATGAAATTACTACAGATGAAGATATCGAGATTCATGTAAATGAGAAAAATATTGAGAATACATTTGATAGCGAGGAACACAAGGATAACGAGACAATAACAATAACGAATGATGAAGTGAAAAATTGTTGTATTGAAAGACGCCAAAATACTAATGACGACATAGCATCGCAAAAGGATGATTACGAAGGTGCTAATATTAATAATCGTCGAAACAATGGATTATCGAAGTCTTCCGATAATTTGGAAGTACAGTGTGTAAATAACGAAGAAGAGAGTAGTTTTCAGAAGAAAACTTTAAGCCTTTCCAAATTACAGGCTGTTAGAAACGTTATAATAGTGAGACGCCGTAGAAGGCCTGTACAGTTATCGGACAGTCCTCCGGTATTAATAATCACACAAAATGGTGTAAATAAATAGACATAGATGAACAAAAAATGCATATATGTATATATGAAACAAAGATTTTTTCATATTTAATTATTGTATTATTTATAATTTATTTGTAATTTACGTAAGTTATAGGAAATATGTAAAATTTTAAATGTATTATAGTGTATTATAAAGCGATTACTAAGTAATTGTGCGTTAATAATATTAGCAGCTGAGATCTAACTACGTTTATCGAGGAAGAATTATATTTAATTGTTAAGGGTGTAATTGTTAAGGATGTAACAAATAGTTAACGAATAAATAGTAATTTGAATATTAAATAACAAGAAGGCAGGTGACATCCAAACGTAGGCAGACAGCGATTTAAAGAGAACTCGATATAAAATATATTAAATATTTTTGTCACGTATTGTTATACTTTTAAATTTTCTGAGTGCAAGATATTTAATATACGGTTGTTCAGGGAAATTCGAAGGCAAAAAATTTGTAGCGTTCTTTGTCGAATTTGTTTACGAAAAGAAAAAAATTCTATAAATAGATAAATTAATTTTGTTAAATAATGTGACATCGATGAAAGGATGATGGTGCGCTTCAACAGAGAAATTATCATTGACTCGTGTAATTCCTTTATATATGAATTATTTTAAACGAAATTTAAAAATAATAAATTACAATATCATGTAATGATTAGTCTGTTAATTTATTGATAGATGATAATGTACTTATACTGCAAAAATTGTCATGACATTATAATTTATTCGTTGGAATATATTGTTAAATTTAAAAGTGTATGTAAAGTTTTAAACTTGGGTATGATGGTTGAAAGCGATTATAGAGAATTTTGTGCAACTGAAATATAAACTTAATGGTACATATAAACGAATGAGTATGTCATATGTGAAACAATGTAATTAGTATCGACGAAAATAATACTTTCATTGACAAAGCTGAAGATGTTAAAAACTAGACAGTTAAATTAATAAATGATAAACATTTTATTTATGAGAACGTTCAATATATTATATTTTTCTATAAAATTAAATTTACGTATTGTACAAGTGTATTTGTTTGGATGCATTTTGTAATAAATTATTATTAAATCTCGTGATCCCATTGATTTAGAAATTAATGAAACGAATAAAGTAAAATAAATGTAATAATAAACCTAATCGTAAAATGGAAAATCACATTTTGCCGCAATTCCTTTCAACCTATCATTTTTTTCAAACAAACCTCGTATCCTTTCATCGCCGTATGGCAAATCATAAACATGACCTTGAATTTTTCTACATAGTTATTAATTTTTTAATACCGGTGGCGCTGAACGCCGTACCGTCAACTAACAATTTTTATAAAATAGCACTCGTTTAATCATATTTATTGGCATTGCATAGGTCATAATAACAAACAACATAAAGGAAATACTTTCTCCATCATTTAAAAACTCCTTGAAGTCTAAAAACCTCCACCTCTCCTCCACGCCCCGCGACCATCGTCATCCTCGCATGCGCACGCGACGAGCCAATCTGATGCATTTACTTCATTTATGGTGGTCACGTCAAAAATATTCGTTAACATGAAAACTGTGATTTAAGGTTGGAGTGAGCAACACAGGCTTCGGTATAGGCGAATAATTATTATTCCACCATGCTTGCTTTCATGCTTAATTTTCATCATGGCAAAAAAGAACATTAAGTAAATGCAATGCCAATCGCTGGAACCACTTCACAAATAATAATACTAAACGACGGGAATTTCAAGGATAAGGCTAGGCAACAACTTACATTTGAGTGAATAATCGCGAGGGCTTTTGCTATTCGCACAATCATGTCTCATAAAGTTCCTGCTTTTGAAATTGATGTTAATTCGCCTGGTGGATTGATGCCAGTGAGTATTGCTGCATGCTCATTAATAATTTAGCAAGATATTTAATAATTTTAACGCGAACGTTTATACAGCAAATACAGGCATTGATCGCTCCACCGTCTTGTGAAGATTCTCACTCGTTAAAATTGAAGAAAGAAAAGGAGGAAAGGAGGCATGCATATTTCAAACGACCTGGACGAGGTCATAATAGAGATTTTTGCGATGCCTGCCACGACGGAGGAGAGCTCATATGCTGTGATAAATGCCCAGCCTCCTTTCACCTACAATGCCAGTGAGCATATTTTTTTCTAAAAAAAAAAAAAAGTCCTTGCGGATAACTAGCTTTTCTCATTAATGATTCGATTTAATGGTTTGATGTAGCAATCCTCCATTAGAGTTGTCGGATATTCCAAACGGAGAATGGATATGTCATGCTTGCCATTGTGCTTTAAAGAGAGAAAATAATGCTGGAAACAAAAGAAAGAAAAAATCCGCTTTAGAAGTTCTAGCCTTTGCAGCTTCGTTAGTTAATCCTAGAGAATTCAATTTACCTAGAGAATTACAGTTACCTATAACATTTCCTGGGACGGATAAAATAGATCCAGTTTCCTACAAGAGGGGAAAGCATCATAACGCCACAAATCTCAATGGTTAGTATTAATGCCAATTAATAAGATGCATTCATATTGCCTTGTTATATTTAACGTAAGTTTTATTGAAAGTTTAGCTTACCAATAACCGCAATCTATACATATTAATGAAAGTTATATAAAATTTGCCTTGACTGTTGTTCGAACGATGTTCAAGTTACGATCGATCGAATGAAATATAGGCAAATAAAACGCCGTTGCTCATTTTTGACAGAATGCGTAATATTTATCGATGTTTTTTGAGGATATTTTAAGCATGGTATTGGATAAATCAGTAATTATTATATTGTTTGCAGGAAAAATTCATTATCACGAGAATGGATCTATTATTCCGCTACCCGCACGTCTTTGTTTCGAATGCGGACGGAGTTGTAGAAAAGCTCCTCTCATCGCGTGCGATTATTGCCCATTGTATTTTCATCAAGACTGCTTAGATCCACCCCTCACTGCATTCCCAAGCGGTAGATGGATGTGCCCAAATCATTTGAATCACTTTATCGATCAAAATCTTTTGACCTCGTGTGCCGCTACAGAAAGGGTTAAGTTGTGGGACAAATTTGCCCACCAACGAATCGATCAACACGCCGTTAAACTGCAATTTTTGCGAAAAGCTCACTCCATTAATCCCCCATTTAGGATAAAGATTAAGCATAATCAAAAGTGTAGAGTTAAAGTTCCACCTAGTGTAAAGTTTCATTATGCTAATCCGCCTGAGCTTGATTTTTGTAATGTATACAGATCGGGTAGTTTTATATATCCAACGTCGAAAAAAAAGTTTTCTACCGACGTTTCTAGAACCGAGTACGACGAAGCACAAGTAGAAAATAGTGAAGACGTTAAATCAGAAGTAGAGGAAATTAGTACTAAAGACAATGGTATTTTATTAGATGTAGATGAAAAGAGAGAAGAGATAGTACAAAGTGAACGGACTAACGATATAAGCGAGGACAGCAAATGTGAAAGTGATACGGAATTAGAAGATAATGTTTTTATGAAAAGTGGCTTAGGATTAAGTATAAAAGAAGGAATTAGTCTTTTAGAAAGGCCAGTATTAGAAGCATTAGCCCAACAAAGGTTAGAACAAATTTTGAATCCAATGGAAGAATGCTATCAAACTTTAAATTGCACCTCAAAAGCTAGAGCACTTATGTTTCCATTAGGCCAAACGACAGGTCCTCCAGTATTCATGACTTGTAAGACTCTCAATATCGGAACAGGTTGCGAATCTGATTTATTACTTGGTCGATATGGTTCCTGCAGTTTTATATCACCAAAGCACGCAGTCATCTTCTTCGACGAGGTAAATGGGATATTAAATTAACGTTACCATATTAATGTTTCATTTATTTTTATTTTATTCGATACAAATTTTTTCCAAACACATTTAAACAAGTACAAAAACAAGGCTAATCCTGTATACAGCTCGCGTTACTCGAACACTGAATATTCTAAAAGATTATAAAATAATATACCTTTTTCTCATTCCATTGCCTAGATATAATGTGAGTTTTCAATTGTCGCCTCTGTGTGTGCGTGTGCGATAGAGAGTGAGTGAGTGAGTGAGTGAGTGAGGGAGTGAGTGAGTGAGTGAGTGAGTGAGCGAGCGATTGAGTGGGTGAGCGAGTGAGTGGGTGGCCAGTGAGTGGATATGTGATTGCGAGTGTACGTGTGTTAATATATATATATATATATATATGTGTGTGTGTGTGTGTGTGTGTGTGTGTGTGCGTGTGTGCGTGCGTGTGTGCGTGTATATATGTATAGATATATATGTAAATATAAATATAATTATTTTATGCATATTGCATGTGTACGTGTGTATATAAATACTTATTTACAGACTACCAATCGCTACGAACTGCTGAATTACAGTGAGCATGGAACTACGGTTGACAACGTTTTATATTCCTGCAATTACAGTATGCATCCGATCGATGTCGATTATGTTGATGCGACTAAAGATGGACACTCTTCCAAAACGAAAGACCACGATGCGGTCGAAGTTATAAAACAGATTGCAAATAGAAATACACCGATCGCAATCGACGGCGCTCCCGTGAAGCAATGTACGTGCAAATGTGCTAATAGGAGAGAAAGGCGCAACAGCAGCGATTGCATAGATCAAGGTTGGGAAGGTAGTGCAATGGTCGATCATGGCTCTATTTTGACATTTGGCTGCCTCACCTTTGTGTTCAGTGTAGTGAATTCATTCACGAGTCGATAATACTCAACATTGTACAGATTTCATAAACTAGACACTTCTTCAGTAAGAAAAATGTTATTTATTGTTATTATAGTACGTTGATTGCTTAAAGAACTCAGGTTATTGAAATTCGCAATTATTTACGTTAAGATAATAGTACACGAACAAGTCTGTTTACACTGCCTTTTTTCCTATAGAAAGAAAGAACGAAGAATGAAAGAGCGAACGAAATACACGGAGAGATAGAGATAGAGAGAGAGAGAGAGAGAGAGTGTGTGTGTGTGTGTGTGCGTGCGTGCGTGCGTGCGTGCGTGCGTGCGTGCGTGCGTGCGTGTCTGTGAGCGAGTGAGATAGAGACGGTTGATGAGGAGGAGCTGGGGAGGGGGGGAGGAGGAGGGGACGCTTTAAATATTGTTAAAAATGTTAAAGTCGGAAGGTTATTGGAAAGTTTTGTAAATACGTAATCTGTCATTCATTGGGCGGAGGAGTAGGAGGTGTAAGAGGTGGAGGAGGTGGAGGAGATGGTGGAGGTGGTGGAACCGCGCTCATCGACACCAAACAAAGACTGATCGAATAAATTAATCCCGCGTGGCGTCCCGCATCGTAAGCAGCTCATTTGCACGTGTGGACGTCCACGCTCTTGCTGCAAGTGCTGCACTGGACGTGACAGCACCAGTGGAACTTACAGTCGCATCTCTCGTTGAGCGTACTCTTCTGGGTGTTATAGCCGCGGCCACAGCACAGAAGATTGCAGCCGTCGATGCCTGAGGAGGTTCGGTTGCATGTTCGGCCGCGGGTACCTGCGAAACGTTTTAGCAACGAATAGTAAAGATGTTTATGTAGAAACGATTAGCCCGAGTACGATATGGCTTGGTGAGGGGCGGGTGGGGGTGGGGGGGGTGTATATAAATATTCCTAATAGCTTTATAATCCTTGGTTGGACGAATCTTTCGCTCTTCTGTCTTTCCATGCGCAAAGGCATCCGACTCATTTTTTATTATTATTATTATTTTTTTTTTTTTACTCGTTGCTTTTGTCGACAGCTTTGTGAAATTAGGCAGCAATTATAAGAGTCGCTGTAATTTCGCGTCGACCGCTCTCGATAATCAAGGACTTTAGGCATTGAATGCCGTATGTGCACGGAGCGTGTCTGGCGTAATGCGCAATTGCCGTTAGTGGCAGAAGGAAGGAAGGGGGTTGTTGGGTTTTTATTTTATTTATTTATTTTTTTTTTTTTTTTTTGACTTGGATGAAGCATTGGGCATACGCGTCGAGGCTTATAGACGGTACGTTAGGTTTGATTCGCGGTAGGTTTCGAGTGGCAACGTAATGTAAAAATATCGTTACAACGTTTTGCAAGGTATCCTGCGTAGGCGAAAAAGGGAAAGTCGAATAATACAAACCTAAGGAGCCCAAGGAAGCATTGGCGAAGCAATAGTTGGGCGAGTCGTCTAAGTAAACCAAATCGTTGGCCGTGGGCAGAGAATATCGTGGATCCCTGATCGATAGGCGGCCTCTTCTGTTCACCTTAACTTCCGTCGCTCCATCGTATTTGTCCAAAAGGTAGTCCCCTGTGTCGGAAATTGTAAACGAATTAATTGAATTTCACGTTATAAAAATCTTATCGATGATAATTAGAGACAATGCGCTGTGTTTATTAGTGACGTTAACTAAGAAAGGGGGTTTAGGGAAGAGAGAGTAGGGAGGGAGAAAACGGGGAAGATGGAGAAAAAAGAAAAATGAGCAAATGGAAAATTGAATGCCGTGAAAATGCTTAAGATAAAAAAAAACAATAAAAATAAAAAAAAAATACAGCAACCGTAGTTGTAAGTTGTAAGTTTTTTTTTTTTTTTTTTTTTTTTTTTCCAAAGGGGTGTACAAGTTGAAGTACGTGTATATTTGAAGTGTATAAATCCAATCATCCTTGGTGTATCTAAGGATAATAAAAATCGGCTCGATCGTAATACAATAAACATCGGTCTTAAAAATAAGTGTATATCGTCTAATCGAATGTGATAACATTTTTATTATGTTAATAAAAATTTACGAATTTAATTTCAAACGTGTATTCAACAATATGTCATCGTTCATTACCACAGATTACTTACGTAAAAAATCAATAGCCATAATAGCCATAATCAACAGTATGTCAACAACTATTTTTAAAAATCATAATTTATTGTAGCTTATTGTAGGTGCCGTTAAATACATTTACATTAAATAATTAAGATATCTACGTCGAGTTTTTATCTACGAAATGAAAAGCAAATTATAAAAAGAAGAAAAAGGTCTCAGAATAAATTTCTTTTATACAAATAAATGTACTGTTTATTTTCTATTTCGATACTCGGTGATATGCTGCTTATACGGTCTCTCGGATTTGAAAAATTCCAAGACGAACCTACAAATATCGAATAGTTTTATTAATTAAATTGTAATTGCACTGTCGATAAGATGCAACGTTAACTTATCGACGAGCGTTAAACACCCACGGGACTGTGTAACTGTTACTTTTCATGCGGCCAATCTCATTTTTATTAATACAAAGCATTTGAGCACTTTCGAGAATTATGGATAAATTTAGTCCCTAAGGCAATTTTAGTCCTTACGAACATATTGAGATTTTAGTATTAATAACGTATTTAAGCCAGAGAAAAAGTGCACTTACAAAATGCACTATCTGCTAAAAGTCAAATGAATGTAACAAAGTTACTCTTGAATAAAAATAAAAACAGCACAGGTATATTCAGCATTGTAAATGTAACGCTGTAAGCGCTGTAATAATCAAATACAATACATGCAAATTACACTTGTTTATGTATAAATTACAGGTTGCTTATATTAAATAATTATTAATCCAGTGGAATTAAAATATTATTTAATTATATAGTAAATGTGTTATAATTGTATTGAGTGTTTACAAATTTTATAATATTTTATTAAACAATTATTTCTAAAGAATTATAAAGATTGTTTTCATTTTAAGAATTACAGCACATAATAAAAATAAAGTCCTTTTTATTCTTCTTTTACACGGCGATTTTCATATTTGAACCGTCATGAATTATCCCTCCATTAATTAATTAGCTCATTTAAACTATTCAACGACTTTATGTCAATATATTGTCGTACGGCTTTAAACAATTTACTATTATTGCATAGTGAAACTATAATCATAAAACACATAAGGGGTAAAACGAAAGTAAAGAAGGGTAAACAATAATTAATATTCTAGACAAATATTTATAAATTACAGACCCAACAAAAATAAAGTATTTTCGCTCTTATGGAAATATAAATTTTTATTTTTAAATATTTTATAAAGATTTATTTTTTTCGATTTTTTTTTAATACAAAAATACTCAATTTCGATCATTTTGATACTAAAGATATTTTTATGTTCGAATTTCTACGCTTAATTTGGAGAATGTAAAATTATATTAAAGCTTGTGGCTTTAAACAGTGCATAAATACTTTAAATTCCTCTTCATTTTTAGCCCAACGCTAAATAATAATAAATTTTTTTTAAATATCCATAAATTTAATTCAACATTCCTAAAAGAAAAAGAAAATAATAATCTTACAACGTTTCATCATAATGTAAAGCTGATGTGAGTTTATTCGTATAATTTTTTTTTTTTTTTTTTTTTTTTTTTTTTTTCAAATAAACAAAGGCTCGATAATTAACTCGATTATTATTTTAATATTTTCTATGTAAATATTTACAATATATAATTTCATATATATCTGGAAAACGAATCTGTTTAGATAGACAGCACCTTGCACGAGAAGTATTTCGTATTTTTAAATAGTAATTTTTCATTGTTAGTATAAAGAATGAAGCTTATAGTTTTCAGGTAATTCAGATTGTTTAAACTTTATTAAAAAAATTTACGGCATGAAATATCCATAAAAGCCAAGAATTGATCAAATCGTTAGTAATTTAAATAACAAAAAAAAAAAAAAAATCTTATACCGCAAGATAGATTTATCTTTCATATGATCCGACTGTTCTTGTTTTATAATTAATGATTATTTTAAATATTTTTCTATTCATTTAGATTTCAATGGAATAACATTTCTACCCAATCAAGAAACGCATTTCATTTATTAATTCATTATTTATTATGAGCATCTGAAATCTTATCGCACGTATATCACAAACATATCAACTTTATCGATACAAGAACAAATTCAAAGTAAAAAAAAAAAAAAAAAATTAATAAATAAATTAGCCCTCAAGATAAAATGATAAAGTAAAAATTGTTTATTCACTTTTACAATTATTTTGTCATATGTATATTTGTTTGTCCTTCAAAGTAACCATTTATCGGTCATCTTAAAAAAGTATGACAATAATTGCTCATTCAGTCTTGACAATATTATTCCATATAATGTGCAAATGCGTTATTTATGTGAAAAATTGTTTTATGGCTTATGGGAGGGGGGGGGGGCGATAGTTCGTATATAATAATTGCTAAAAACAAATTTAAACTCTTTTATAAAATGTAACTAATGTATTCGTTAAAAATGAAAATTAAATCTTTTATTATGTGCTAGATATGTGTCTGGATTTAAATCGTTTATATGCGAAAGAAATTTTTTAATAAGATTCATTTGATATTGTATAATAGTTGAAACGACATGTTGCGTGGTAAAAGGCTGTAACGCATATTTTTTTAAGCACATTTTTTTTCCTTTTTTTTTTTATTAAAGGACTTGAATTTGTATTATTATTATTATTATTATATATATACATATACATGTACATATACATATACATACATACATGATTATTTAATATCTGATAGCTTATATTTGGTTAATATATTATTACTCACTTACTATATATAATATCGGGTTTTGTTTTGTTTTTTTTCTTTTTTGAAATGTACGGTCACGCCAAGTGTACATGCAACGAAAATGTAAAAATACTTATACGTTTGTGCGCGTGCATTTAGAATTGATGTGGTATACATGCAAGGAACATTATTTAAAGTCCTTTCCTCTAAAAAATAATAATACGTATTTTCAAATAATGCTGAATTCGTTACGAACTAACGGCAAACGGGAATAATAATGAATCGTGCCGTAAATCATTCGACAGCAAGGAACAAAACGTGCACTCAAGCTTTAATAAAGGAAATACAATTTTTCTAACTACACTTTTTATTATAAATAAATGTGCAAATAGATAAAAACCTTTTAATTACCGGCTGTTCCTTGGCCGTTTCTGTTCACTTCAAATTGCGTATTTCTACGAAAGTACTTTATACGTCGTAAAGCTACTTAGCACTTATGATTAGCTAAGTATTTCGATGTTTATGATAGACGAGGTATTTAGTTTAGTTCGTCCTGTTTTGTTCGTTAAATTCCCATAATCAAGCTTAACACGGTGGCTTGTCTTAAAAAGCAAAGGATTTTCAAAATATTTTATTGTTCATTAAAATGGTCGATAAACAGGTTTTCATCACATGCGACGACGACATATCGGGCAAAGTGTACATTTGCGCTGTATTTTCCGATAATGACGTCAGATTTTTAATTTATTTATTCTAGGCTCTTTCCCATAACGTTAATAATAAAAGTGAAGCTTCGTAGATGGGAAATTACTCCTGTATATATTATTGCTTAAAGGGTTTAACGAAATTGCGCGAAACCCACGAATGGGGATTTTGCGCTAGCACGACGTACGCCAATTATAAATCACGAGGAGTAACGAACGGTAAATGCCGAAAGGAAGAAAAAGTTGGAAAATTGTACGGCGAAGGGGGAGGGTAGAGTGCGCGCGCGCGAGAATTAGAGAGAGAGAGCGTAGGTGGTGGGGGGGGGGCGTGTGGAGAAAGCAAAGATCACGCAGGTTCCTTATTATAAGACATACCCGATTACGTCGTTGCGAGGTTTTTCTGAAAAGAATAATTTATTCAGCCGTAAAATGTTGCGATAACGATGAAAAAATATCGGGCTGACGGCTGGAAGTAAATTTTCATGAGAATGCACTGGCTCTCGAGCGCGTCCAGCCAACTCGAATAATCATAAGGAGCCGGCATAAAAGGACGGACGGCGAGCGAGGAGGCACTTAGGGTCCCAACACTCGCTGCCCGTGTCCATCCGAATGAATAAAAAGGGCTCTTCTCACCTATCTCCCTGAAGGAGGCGAGCTGCTGCCAGCAGGTGATGAGACTGCAGCTCCCGGAGACGCCGTGGCACTTGCACGTGACCTTGGAGCGCTTGATGATCGCCTGTCAGCCGGAAACAAACAAAGAGGAGGGAGCGCGTGATAAAGGGCTTAAAGAAGATAAAAGTGTCTCCTACCCTGCGCCCGGCCTCGTTGTTGTGCAGGTTCATCAGGCTCCTTCCGTGCTCGCGGCTGCGCCTCTTGTAGCTGCGCTCGCGTTCCCGCACATCGACGAACGACTGGGCGAACCTGGGGTCGGCGGGCCGTGGCCAACGTTACAAGGTCGTGCGTGCGTGCGTGCGTGCGCGCGCCGCGAGGGCCGGCCGAGCCGCTGGCCCGGTGGTCCAGCCTCCGGGGGACCACCGGGCCATCGGATCGGCCCGCCCCCCTAGCTCCGGGCCGCCCCTACTCACTTGTATCCGTACTCGAGATTGTCACCGCAGCCGCCCCATATCCACTCTCGGTTGAGGTCCTTGGGCCGGCCGCTCCTGGAGCAGCCGCACGAAGATAGCTGGCCGTCGCGGCAGGCGCGGCCGAGGGAGTACACGACCCCGGCGGCCGTAATCGCGTGCACGAACGCCGTCTCCCGGCTCGCTGGAACACGCGCCCGAGCCTTTCAGGGGCTGCCTCTCCCTCCCTGGGGAACCGCGCAAGCTTCATCTGGGAGATGGGATTGACAGGATTGGCGGGACGAGTTACTTACTTACTTACTTACTTGCTTGCTTGCTTGCTTGCTCCGATCGTCTCTCGGCCCGATCACCTTCGCCCGCGATCAACTCCAC